ACCTACTATATATATATATATATATATACCTTTTCCAACTAAGGCCTAGAACTTTCTTCGAACTAGGTGATGCTATGATGTAACAATACTCACATAGCGAGAAAACTTAGAGGTTTTGAGAAAGATCACATCAACAATAATACAACCGTTGAACTACTTTCACAATGTATGACTCATACTGAGTACATGCAATGAAATTTGTCATAATTATTACTTTTAAAATAATTAACTTTTAATACTCTTGTTATGGAACTAAATAACCAACTAAACAGTCTTGCATATACAACAGTAAAACACTTGCTTTTAGTGCAACTGTTCTGGATTCAAATTGTTTATGCAAGAGATATACAAAAAATTAAATTACCTCAGACTTATAAAATTTTAAGGAATTTTGTATATTATTGTAGTAAAACTTTTCTTTCATTCCAGTACTATGTTGAACTGAACAACCCTTATATGATGATGAATGAAACTTCTCAGAATAATAATGATTACCTAACAATGGAAGGAACAAATACAGACTACACTAACATGAGACAAAATGATCAGCTTGCTTCCAAAGAACCTGAAGCCAGGTTATCAGATCCTTGGAACTATTATGACAACATCAGCACATGTCGACCAGTTGGAGATGGTCCAGCTCCAAAAGAACCCATGGAAGTTGTTCCCATGATCCAGTTAGAATCTGTTGGAGACACATGGCATGATAGAATGGCATGTATTCCTAAGGACAATCCTGAGGAAATGGCCCTAAATGAAAGCAACAGTCCTGATTATATGTTTATGGGAGGAACAAACAGTGATAACCAAAAAGTCACCAAGAAGAAAAAGCTTAATGATTCTGTGTTTACTGATCCAGAGGATGAGACACATTCTGGTTCTATTAACGTGGCTCATCCTTCCTACAGTCTTGTAGTTGTAGACTCTCCATCTGGATAAAATGTGTGAAGAGCAAACAAAAATAAGCAAGGAAGGTTATTATAATCAGTATACTAGATTATTCAAGTGTACTGTTAAATGTTTCAGAAGTACATTAAAATCAGTATTTCTTTTGAATAATAGACATGTAGTTATAATTAATGAAAAACTAAAAACATTCATTGCAAGAGTAAAGCAACATGCATTATAATTGTTAAGGTGAAATATATCTTCCTGTTTGTTGCAAGTAATAAAAGTAACACTTGGTGGTAATGAAACAGTGAGTATACTTGCATAAAGAAATAGATACACTCCTAGTATAGAATGAGAAGGGAAATGAAATTGAGGAAACTTGATATTATAGTAATTTTGGAAATTGAAAAATGATGGTTGTCATAAGTATTCTATATCTTTAGTATATGAAGTATTGTTCATTACTGTGCATGTTTACTGAAGTATTAAAGATGTTTTAATTAACTTGTGTCACAGGACTTGAATAGGTAATTTTTAATACTTAAGTCACTGTGGCTTTAATGAATTTACCATGACTATATCTGAAGCAACTTTAATTCCTGAGGTTAGACAAATGTGTCACAATGTACATTTTAATTAATTAATTTAATTTGTGTGATAACAAGACATTTGTTTATTATTATATAAAAACATACTTTTCGTGCTGAATAATGTGGCATTTAATCTGAGACCTATCAAATTGACTATATTATTTATTTGTTGGTATGGTTTAGTGACTTGGTATCAATGTTACTATCCTTATTATGACTTATGAGTAACATATTATAGAGTAATTTCTGTCTTTAAATGAATTGAAAATATTTTAATATTTGGCTTTTTAATGACCTTTTTTGTTTTTTAAGTATAGGACAAATACTAATGTTATACATAAGAATAAAAATAACTGATTTAGCTTTTCCGACTACGTTTGTGTCGTTTCTAGTTAAAAATAATAAACAGTTTTTAGCATTTTTTATGAGGTTGGTCACATTGTTTTTTATACATTATTTTACTACCTCAAGTCACTACTCTGGTCATCTTAGTTTAAAATATGTTTTGTATGTATTGTGTGTATGTGTGTGTGTATATATATATTCTTAACTTTGTTTAATGCAAACTGGAGTTTTTTACTAGACATTTCTATTAATGTAAATACAGTAACCAATATCTCTGGAGATATAGGTTGCTATTTTATCTACATTACTAGAAATGTATGTACATATGTTTGTTTTATTTGGAACATTTTTGTTTTAACATTAAGAGGTATCAAAGAAAGGGTAAAACCAAGGTGAAACAATTCATACTGTTATTAAAGTAAAGTTGTTGTTGTTTTTTGTTTGCTCTCAGATAGGAGTTTGAAGAAATTAACTTCCTTATTCACATGGTTTTACCAGATTCTTGGAATTCCTATATAGAAAACAGTGAAATGAGTAAAATTATGAATTATATGAAGATTATTATGCAGTTTTAATGGTAGTTATTGAAAATTCTAGATTTCATGTATACCTGAGACATGTAATTAATAAATATTTACATTGATTACTTGAGATGATTGCTTATTGTAGGTTTAGTATGTGTTTTATTGTGAAAAACAATTTTCAAGGTTAATTAATATTATGCTTTTAAATTCTTATTCAAAATTTAGTTCCTAAGATAATAGATAATTGTGTTTTTAGGTTTAGAAGATTTAAAGTATTATTCATTTTGTCTTGAAAATGCCACTACTTGCATGTGAATAATTGTATATTAAATTTTTATCAATTAATTTTATGTAATTGTTCTAGTTTAATCATTATGTACCAAACTAATCATTTTGTAAATCAAAATTATTAAGTACACAATCTGTATTGAGAAGCACTGGACAATAGCCATGTTTTAAAGAGTAACATAAATGTTAAGTTATAGAAATGATAGTTAATTAGACAACATTATTACTTTGGTATATTCAGCCAAAACTGAGGCAACCTTTGAGCTATCAGATAGGTCCACTTAATGATATCAATCACAAACTAATATTAAATCTCTTACTAGCCAGTATGTGATATTACATGAATAATTATTCTGGATAGAAAGTGAAATACAAAATGAACAATCTATATTATCACAATAAAACACAAACACAGTGTGTGTGTACATGCTGGTAATTACAAAGAATGATCATTTTTACTGAACCATTCTTTATTCAACTGTTCAAATTGAATCCATCCACCAGACTGTCTAAATCCAATGTTCTTTATTTCACAAGACATGGCTCATTTATCCAAAGCCATGTGTATGTTCATTCTCATTACAACATAGGTGAAGCCGTAACTTCTAGACAATCTGAATGAATGTCCATTGAAGGACACTGCTGTCAATGACGTTGCACAAGGTGAAGTATTGTAGTAATATAATCCACTGAAGATAAAGGTAACTAGAACAAAATCAATATAATGGCTTGTTATGTGAAACTTGCAATATAGAATAGATATTATAATGTTACAAGAAGATAAAAATACATGGTGTATTCACATACCACACTTTCCTGTATTCCCTAATTCAGGGTTGTCCTCAAGCTGACAATTAACTTTAATTATAAAACAAATGAACTTCTAAATCCACACTCTGATCGAGGAGTGCATTAACATTCTGTGGCACCTGAAAACACTTACATCATACACAGACGTCATAGCCCTTTAACAACAAAAATTTAGTATATAAGTACACTTGAGAAAAATACCCTTTAATACAAATGCAAGCACACACATACTCACAGAAACTTTTAACTGATTGACACAAAAAAGAAAACCTTTTAATGAATATTAACCCATTCGCAGCAGCTGAGATGTATATTTTCCAGTGCTCCCACCCCCTCACACTGCAACATACATATATACATAATGACATACAAGAAAAATACTCTTCAGTCATGTCCTAATGTGGTTGACATTAGAGAGCTGAAGCCTGGACTGAATCAGGACCACAAGGATTAGCCATCAGTAATTTTAAAAAGAACCTGCATGTTGGAGGCCTCCACAAATGGGAGAACCCTTTTTGTTCACTTCTAGTTATCAATAGTTGCCCCTGAGTTTTTCGTCATGGTTTATGAAACTGTGAGTTACCCTTTGAACAGGATATACATTTCCATGGCAACTGAATAGGACTAGAAAGTCGTAGCTGTTATGACCAGATTTAATTCCATTCATATTGAGTGAGAGGTCTTCATCAGTAATTTCCATGTACAGTCAGAGCTGAGTTTCACATTACCTCATCTGACCAATTTTGAACATCCAGATAAGTACTCTCAGCTCATTTCTCTTCGTCTTTAATGACAGAGTGAGGTAAAACAGTGATTTCAACCTCATTTGGCTCAACTGCCACCTCTTCTGACTCAAGCCAATTCACCAGAGGTTCATTTGTCACATATGGATGTAGCTGGTAATGTGTACTATGCATTGTCATACACCTCTCAACTGCTGCAACTTGTACATTAAGGGACCAACTGATTGTAGCACAATATGTTGTACGTCCAATCAGAACCAAGAGGCTTCTATGCTGTTGGTATATACCAAAGCTACACCAGTATCCACTTTGGTAAATTAATTTCTTTACTGTCTTATCATAACTTTTCTTCTCTTGTGCTTGCTGAGTAATTCATATCTTAACCCTCTACATATTATTGTGGCATAGTACAGAAAACATTCTATTTGAATGACCATAAATCGTGTCTACAGGGAACAAGATGTTTCTGCTGAACATGAACAGATATGGCAAACAATCTGTTGATTTCTCTTGAGTTGCATGATATGCCACAATCCAAGTTGTTGATGTGGATAGGGTTAAGGAACTTAGCAAGCATAAACTCGACAGTTTGTATCACACATTCCACTTAACAATCAGAATATATGCGGGGGAGGGGGTAATATAATGTTCATGTCTTCACTACACCCAAGACTTTACTCAATTCGGAGAAAGTTGGCTGTTACAGTTAGCCAGATACATGTATGTCTCTTCAGGTGCTCCAACCTAAGTTGCCTGACATTTCACCAGTGCATCAGCCATGGACTGTTAACTGACTAAAGAAGTGTTCAAAATTAGTAAAATACACGTCTATAACAAGATCTTTATTATTATTTGTAACGTTTCAAGCAGAAGCCCATCGTGAGGTAGTTTAAACTGTGTTACATAGAAAAGAGGCTTAAACAGAATCGTTTAAGGATTAAAATATAGAGATTATAAATTACATACGAACTGCGGCATGGAGCACGTTAACAAAAATATTGTTAAAAGGAATATTGTAGAAGCGGTTTACAAACAATTTTAAAAATGGAAAACAAGTATTAAAGTTATAGAAACTGAATTTTAGAAATTAAAAGGGCACAGAAGTATACATAAATTCGAGAACTGATGAATAATAATAATGATCAGAGAAATATGTGTAGGCGGTGTCAAATTAACAGGGGTGGCAAATATATAATAACAGAGGCTGTAATCACTTAAAATAAAAACGTTCATTAATTCTGTGTGGTGCCAGAGAATTTAATTTAAATATAAGTTTATGTTCTAGGCCAATGGTTCTTAACCTTTTTTGCTCTATGCCCCACCTCGACACCTCAAAAATTTGATGCCCCCTTAATATAAATACAAATTTGGTGTTGCAAAGGTATAATAATATAATGTAAAATTTAGAAATTTACCAAAATTTCACACCCAAATGAAATTTTTTTCTTATTGTAGCATTTTCAAATTGCCCCTCCCAATATATTCAAATTGTCCTTCTGTAGGTCGTGCGCCCCACGTTCAGAATCACTGTTCTAGGCTTTCGCGATCAAAGTTATTTGTTTGTTGTTGTTCTTGTTTTTAGGGGGGGGGCGCATGGAATAAAACGAGTATATTCATGTCATTAAGTCCATTCGATGTAGCCATTGACCCGTCTAAGACAAGACTTTTAAGAAGGGGAGGAATTTTTATTCAGCCCCTTACTCCCGAAGACACAGCTTATCTCTGTTCCCCATAGAACTCCAACCCACCAGTTACTTGCAAACCTCCCAGAGTTAATTCTGAACTTTTCTCTGTTTTCCGTAGAAACGTTGACCACTTCATCTCAACCGACGACATACACAGAAGCCTGGAGGCCATACCAGACAATATGATCCACGCAGTACATCGCATCAAATCACGAACCTGCCAACCCAATACGTCAAGTTCGTTACTACCTCCAAATTCACTGCAGAACACATGCTAACTAATGGTTTTGTCAACTTCTTTTTCATTTCACAGCCGAAAGACCAAGAAGACGCCTAATCACTAGAAACAGCGTCGCCATAACCAGATCTTTCAAGCCTACGATACATCAAAATCAACAGTATCCTGTTCTTGCCGCCTCACCAGCTCCCGAAACAGAAACGCCTACCACCTCCAGTAAAACAACTGTGAAAGTAAACTCCAGCACTCAAACAACCAACCTCCAGACAACTTCACGGCAGACACAAACCATGTCACCTCTATCAACCATGTGTGACGCCTCTACTTCTACGGACAGCCTCTTTCTTACACACCAAGAAACACAGACCAAGATAGGCAAAAAGGACCGAAGAATCCAAACTGAAGACCACAACGACACAGACTCCAAGAGATTGACAAGATCCACTTTAAGAACTTCAGATGCACTACCAACCGAAGCCCCACATCACCTAGCACCATCCCGTTACACAAGGTAACGTCCAGTTGACTAATCAACCGTAGCCCAATCCAGCTAAACAACGACTCGACTGTACACAGACTCACGTCGCCTCTTCACCCAGCCAGCCTGTTCTAGCCTTCAAGCATCACCAGTAGCTACATTGAATTCAACCCACGAAAACTAACAATATGTCTTTTTCCACACCATTTTCCGGGCACGGTTAGGGTATTTTATTCGGCGCCCTGGCCGTGGAAGTGAGTTTTCTCGGTGTACTCCGTCCCCCCCCCCCCCCCAACCAGCAAAGTTTTTTCTTATGGTTTGGATCCATAGATTCCAGTCATGAAAAAGACCATCTCAGGCTAAATGTAATACTATAGTTCTCTGCTAATGTTAAAATATTAAAAATCCTTATCCTCAATTACTAGCCATGTATTCTTTAATCAGTTTACTCTCAACATTTTAGACAACAACGAACGCATTTGATCTGCATCTCCCTGCTCTGCTCTACTCTCAGGTCTGCAACGCCCAACGACACGTGGTCGTATGACGCACAGGCACCGCCGAAAGAAATAAAACTTCAGAAGAAAACACTCAACCCAGCAAAGGTCTCCTTCTTTCTCTTCTTCTCCGCGTCTCACCTCAGCTTGTGGATTCGCCACTAGGTAAATTAACTGTCAAGATCCTCACTCATGTAAGCAATTAATCCATAAAATTCCAGGCCACTTAATTCTAATCATGTAATGGGGTGAAGAGAAACAGAAGTTTCTGACGCCCCTGGTTATATTTAATTCCCCTTCGGGGAATAAAATATACTTTTAACCTAAATACCTACCATGCCAAACGAACGAATTAAGTCCATTGTGATCCGGAAAGTAGAAGTGTTTGGAGACTTGGTGGTCGAGGGTGCCGTGCGTCGGATATTTTCACGAAATGTGTCTCCTAATCTACGCATATTCTCCCCAATATAGAGTTGCTTACATCTAGTACAGTGAATACAATAAATAATGCACTCCGATGTACAGATGAATTGCCTTTTACGTGAAAGGTAAAGATAGAACTATAGAGAGTCGTTAAGTTGATGATATAATCACATGTGAAGCAAAGAGTTCGTCCACACGGACGAATTCCGTTAGTTAGTGCAAGTACAGACACTTCAGTCTGTAATTTGGAATGTACTAGACAGTTTTTCAAATTCCTCTCACGTTTGAAATAAATTAAGGGTGGGGGTAAAGATGTCGTTAGATGTGTTGTTTGTTTGATTGTTTGTAATTAAGCACAAAGCTACACAATAGGCTACCTGTGTTCTGCCCACCACGGGTATCGAAACCCGGATTCTAGCGTTGTAAGTCCGGAGACATACCCCTGTGCCACTGGGGGGCAGATGTGTTGTCTCCTGTTGGTAAGGTATGTGACGGATTTATTATTATATATTTAATTTTAATATCGATGTTTGTTTAAGTTAAATCTATATTTAGAAATATACATAACTTATACTGTTAAATCTGTATTGCGAAATTCTCGCCTATTCTCTGAAGTTGTAGAAGATTCTCGAGTGTAAGAATCAACAATGGCCTCAAAATTTTTCAGGGTTAAAATCAAAATTTTAAATGTAAATTAATGCTTGTTAATAATTCGTAACAAATAAACCTTACATGTGTGGAAACAGTGAAAATACTGTATAGAACACTAAGAAGAATATATGACGAAGTTTTTTCATTGACAGCGACCACTTGTGGTTTCAATGGTTAATACATTTTGACGGCCCCCAGTGGCACAGCGGTATGTC